GTGGGCATTCTCTCTCTCTCTCTCTCTCTCTCTCTCTCTCTCTCTCTCTCTCTCTCTCTCTCTCTCTCTCTCTCTCCGTCTCCTTCCTTTTTTTGACAGTGGGAGGAGTCATTTCGGTCTTTTTGTCCAGCTCTTTGCCTCTTTGTATGTTTTTCTACGATGATAATTTAGAAGCGACTGCGAAAATTCATGATCGTTAATTGCTGGATTGATATCGTCGAGTATTCAATCTAGAATTTCTTCTTGTTGTGACTGGGTTTCTTTTACGCCCCCAACAACACTCTTTGCGACAGTTGAGTGGGATATATACCGAAATCCAAGTGTGATGCGATCGAGAAGAAGAAGAAGAAGAAGAAGAAGGAGAAGAAGAAGAAGAAGAAGAAGAAGGAGAAGAAGGAGAAGAAGGAGAAGAAGAAGAAGAAGAAGAAGAAGAAGAAGAAGAAGAAGAAGAAGAAGAAACTCTTTAGATCAATAAGAGGGACAAGCAGCTTCCTCTCAGCCCCCCCCTCCCCGCCCCTGGGCAAGGCTAGGCGATATCGAACACTTCCCCCCAGGGCGAAGGACAGAGATAATCGATAAATTCTTCATCAAAAAACACTCTTGACTGATCTTGATTTTGGGAGTTTCTAGTATTCAGTGTTTTATGGGGGGGGGGGGTTTCCTGTTTTGGTTCCAACGATTAGCCGACTTATATTTACCTGTCTCTATCCCTACACACCACTTCATACATCCCCACCCTGGCCACCCATACACTCACACCCCTACCCTTACCCATTCCTGCGACCCGAACCTATATAAAGTTACTTTCGATATTCCACTCAGTTCTCTAGGGGCCCAAAACGGAGATTGCTTGTTTTGTTCGTCAAATAAATTATTGATGAGATTTTTTTCTACGCATTTGAAGATTTTCTCTCTGTTTTAGAGATAAGCGGATGTGTCTGTATGTGTGCGTATGTGTGTGTGTGTGTGTGTGTGTGTGTGTGTGTGTGTGTGTGTGTGTGTGTGTGTATGGAGGAAGGGGGGGAGGGTATGCTTATCTAGTTGGTACAGTTATAGAACGAGCATGTTTTCCCGCAGCTGCCTGTGTGCCTAAAAATGTGAGGCAGCGTGGTGGAATCAGGCTCTCGTCAAAATAATTAAAGTGAAGACACCTGCATTTTTCCACAGGTTTGTGAATGTTAATAATTTTTTTTGTTTTTTGGTTCAACACCTTTATGCCCATTAAAGAATTCATTTCTGAGTGGATTTTTCTGAAAAACGTTGATTAAAGGCACAAAAATGTAAATTTTCAGTTACCACAGGCTCTTAAGGTAAGGAAATAACTAATCTTTGGCGGCCATTTTCTCACAAATTTTACCTCTGAAAACAGGTGACCCCCACTTCCTTCCATTGCAAATATCTCGACTTGCATTGAAGATAAATGGACTTTTTTTATCCAAATAAAGACAGGTGAACAAGCTTTAAGACGATACCAATAACTCCACATGCCTAAAAATTGACGACAGCCTGATTCCACCACGCTGCCTCACAAATGTTTTTGAATAAAAATATTCTGTGCGATGGGTATGAGTTTATAGGAAGACGATTTATTGTTGAGAGGGGGGAGAGGTGAGAGGTAATCAACATCTCTCTCTCTCGCTCTCTTTCTTTCTCTCTCACTTTCTCTCTCTCTCTCTTTCTCCCTCTCTCCCTCCCTCTCTCCCTCCCTCCCCCACTCCTTCCTCCCTCGCCCCTCACTCAGTAATTGTTCCTAGCGAAGGGCAGGGTCTTTTTGTTTTAGTTTTAGTAGAGGTTTTACGGCGCTCGCAACTGCATAAAGTCATATGAGCGCCAAGGGGTGGATACCAACTGAGAAGTCCTTACAGGGAATCAGACTTACTCTGCTCACCTCTTTAGCTTCCACAGCACAAAGTCTGCTTTGACTATCAAGGCACCCCAGAAATAGCGGGTCACAAGAGTATGACAAACAGACAAAAGAAGTAGAGGAAAAAATGACGAGAGTAAGGATTAGTAAAGAAAAAGCAGCAGTTCCCTGTTGCAGTTCAGGCACAGTTATGAGCATGACATTGTTGAATCAGCCGATTTACAGATACAATTCTACTG